ACTACCCAGGCCCAGAATAAGGGTTATGAGTTGGGCCCAGCCCAGCATGCATCCCAGCACATGAAGGGGTTGGTCTGCGGGATTGCCATGACACAGGGCAACCACAGGATATCTAAGAGGAGTGCCAGTGAGAGTCCAGCATCAATCGTGTAGCAGAAACAAGAAGTGTAGAATCAGACCAATGACTCTTTGTGATGAACACTTACAAATAAAGATACATAGATAAAAGGGTTTACTGTGTGACTCACTGTGTCACATTGCAACTTCCATAACAAGATTTTTCCTTTTCTCCTTTTTTCTTCTTTCTCTTAAATTTTATATTTTGAGGCTAAGGTTGCAAAGGCAGAGGCCAGATATGAAGAGATGGGAAACTAAAGGGATTGACATGCATGAATTGAAAGACACAAAGAATAAATAAAAAGAAAGTTTAATAAAATAAAAAAATAAGCTCACAGCATTTTTGTTTTGGGGTTTTTGTTTGTTTGTTTGTTTGTTTGTTTTTTGAGACATGGTTTCTCTGTGTAGCTATGACTGTCCTGAAACTCACTCTGTAGACCAGGCTGGCCCCCAACTCACAGAGATCCACCTGCCTCTGCCTCCAAAGTACTGGGATTAAAGGCGTGCACCACCACCAACCAACTAAAATTTTCAAATTATATAACTAAAAAATATTTGTACCTAGAATATAATTAGAATTCTTACAACTCAAATCTTAAAAAGTACAACATAAAATAAGCTGAGCCTTTAAGCAGACACTTCTGAAAAAGGACAAGTGACCGACAAGCACGTGAATGTGTGCTCAGTCAGAATCCAAATTCAAATTATAAGAAAACATTTCATTATATGCAGTAGGTGGCTATATGTTTTTCTTAAATATGAATAATCAACTGTCATGGAAGATGTAAACAACTAGGATTCCATACACTGTTGTTGAGAGTCTAAATAGTGCACCATTTATATAAAGTGATTTATTGGTTCTTAAAAATATGAAACATAGTATTGTCCTATAATATAACAATTCTTCCTAAACATAGACCCCTAAATATATATGATAAGAGGTGAAAGCACATGTTCACACACAACCTGGTACATATATGTTCCTGGTGGCATGTTCATAATAACAGACAATAAAAAAATCAAATGTCCATCAACTTATAAACAAAGTTGATATACAGAGCTTGATGTCTGTACAACAAGGCATTATTCATAGGAATAAAATATATAATGTACGCTATAATGTGTAATCAGTCTTTAAAATATTATACTTAAGTGAGGTAGCTAGACATGGAAGGACAATAATGTGACTTCATTTATATGATATTCAAAATACACAATCCACAGAGACAAAAAGTAGGTTTAGCATTTGCCATGTGCTAGGAGGAGGAGACAGTGTCTATGTAATGTGTAATGAAAATGACCAGGAATTACATAGTAGAACCTTGTAATATATTATAAAGCAAGAAGTTGTATAATTGAAAATGGTAAATTTTATGTTATATGAATTATGCTTCAGGTTTTTTGGAGAAAGGTGACCTTCATTTTTTTCAAGTTAAATACTCAAATATCCTCTTGGTCCAAATGATTTATTTCATTCAACTTTTCACCCCAATTTTATATTCAATGTGTTTGCACATGTATATGTACTTAATATGATATTATTAAATGAATATCTTATTAAACATGTGCACAGAAATATTTATCCAGTAAGACTGGCATGACTGCAAAGTGAGTAGTGATTCTTTCCTTGTCCTCTCTCTACTATCTGCATAATCTGTGAGCCTTTTTCCATTGTCCTAATTCCTCAGAAAATAACCTAGAAGAGAGTTAGTGCAGGCATACAGGAAAAAGAAAAGCAACGAGCTTGGCATTAATAATAATCTAACATTAGCTCACTGTGCCCTGAATAAATGATGCTGGCTACGTTTCTGTTGGGTGTAAGGTTGTCACACGGCTGGGTGTGCAGCTGCCTCTGGCCACCATTTGTGGCTGTTGGTCTTCTCAACTTGCAGAAATGCCTGTCGCATGAAGCATGGTCTCTATCTAGGATGGCTAGAACTTGGAGGATGACGAGTCTAAATTAAGAACTCAGGACTTTAGGCTATTTGTTTTGCCTGGGCAGTGCAGAAGTCCTGAGATTTAAGAAGAGTGATGAAGATAGCAGCTGCCCCATTCCCTGTCCATTCCTCTCATGTAAGCCCAGTCACCACCCGTGTGCTTGGGGCTGTCAAAAATCAGAGCAGCGGTACAGCTTGGCCTTGAGAATCATTCTTTCCTTGGAAATCAAACTTCTAGTCTGGATAGTGCCCTTATCAATTCCAGATGTTTGGCCTGCAGGACAGATGTTGTTGTAAATGATTAGACAATGCCTCTCATGGTTCTCTTTTCTGGTCTGGGCCAAATCCATTTCTAGCTGAGCTTCCTCTTGTCAGATCTCTGTATTATCAAGCATCTTACCTTCTTCCTGCTCACCATTTGTCATTTTCTTTTATTTCTTATTTTATTTAGAGTAAATGGTCCCAGGGACAGCTCTGCCAAAGGTAACAGTGATACTCAGTGCTGAGTCAAGTTGAACAGTCATCATGAGAAGGTTGATTAGTTTTAAATACTTCAGAACAGCGGTCCTCATTCTTAGTTATATTTCTGAGGCTTCAAAGTATATGGATATCTGGGTACTACTCTTGAGGTTCTGATATAATCCGTCCAAGTATGAACTGAGCTTCTGGAACTTACACAGTTTACCCCTTGATTCTCAGATACAGCAATGCTAAAGAATGGGGTAGTTATACGGGTTCCTTTAGCTTTGACTTTCGGTATTGCTTGAACATATAGCACAATCAGTAAAATAGAATTCCCATCCTTCCATAGTCAGAGGTAATGTACCCATTTTTTTCTTTTTTGGGGGAGACTGAGGGAGAAAGGAGAAGAATATAGAAGAGATCCTTTAAAACGTGTTAGATGACATTATTCTCAACTCTTTCAACGGCTTTTCCTTTTACTTGCAAAAATACTGAAATCCTTTTAATGACCGGTGATATCTTATAGAATCTGGCTACCTAAAACTTCCTCTGCTACCTTTAGCCAAGGGGGCTACAATTCTCCTTACTGTATCCACTTCAGCCCCAGTGATCTCATTGCTATTCGTCAAATTAAGCAGGGATATTTTCAGTGAAAGGCTTTCATACCTTCTCAAACCAAGAATCTTCTCCTAAATATACACATTTTACTGGATCTTTCAAATTTTTAGGTCTTTATTAATATATCATCCCTTAATAGGGTTTCTTTGGCCACTATTTTAAAGTCAGAATTCCCCTAATCCTCCTATTCTCCTCCTGTTTCATTGTTCTCCATTGTATGTATGAATTTCTTAGACATTATGCGTTTCTTCTTAACATGTATACTATTGTTCCTCTAAAGAGAAGTAACTATGATATCATTGTACCCATTATATTTACTACCCCATGCAATATACTTAAAACAGTGCCTGTCACACAGTAGACACTATGTAAGTATTTATTACTTGACCAAATGGTAAAAAGAGATTCTACAGAATAATAGTAACAACCTTATAGTTTGTAGAGCCCCTTACTTCTATTGATCTTCACAATAACCATAGGGGAGAGCTAAGACAGATTTTACCAAAACAGAATAAATGAGTCTCAGAGAGAAATTACCTAAAGTTCATTTACATGGCAAGAAAGAAAGCCAAATTCTGTATATGGGAGCAGGGGCTGCCTCTGACTCTTTTGCTTGCTTTTTGGGACCTTATTCCTCATACTGGGACGCCTTTCCCAGGCGTAATACATGGGGAGGTGCTTAGTCTTACTACAACTTGATATGCCATGTTCTATTGATACTCATGGGAGATCTGCCTTTTTCTGGACTGAGATGAAGCAGGAGAGGTTTGGGGAGTGGAAAAGGAAGTGGGGGAGGGGCTTGGAGGGAAGGGTGTAAGATAAATAGATGAAAAAATTTACTTTAAAAAGTTAAAAAAGGGATGTTCACCTTCCTAGACCTGGATAGAGGGGGGAGGACCTTGGACTTCACACAGGGCAGGGAACCCTGACTGTTCTTTGGACTGGAAGAGGAAGGGAGAGGGGAAGTGGGGGGATGGGCGAGAGAAATGGGAGGTGGGGAAGAGGTGTAAATTTTTAATAATAATAAAATAAAGTAAAAAAAATTAAAAAAGGAAGAAAGCTAAGACTCAAAGGCAGTTTAGAATCCATAAGTGTATCATGCTTCCCAAGCAGGGTTCTACTAAAATAGGAGTGCATAACCTTACTGATCTTTTTCCTTTTTGAGATATTTTCAGTGAAAAGAAAAAAAAACTTTTCTGAACATTAAATTGATTTTTCTTTAAATAATCCTCATAAAAAGGTTACTGGGGAAGTTTTGTGAAATGCCTACACCCATGGCTAAATCAAAACATCTGGTGGTTAAGAATCATTATACTAGGTAAATAGTGGGATAGACTTAGATGGATAAAGAAGGATGCCACAAACAAAATGTTAAGTGACACACATATTTAAAGCTAGAAAGGAAATAGCAGCCACCAGCACACAAAGGAAACCCAGGAGAAAAGTTGATTCTGGGAACACTAATGCATAATAAAACGTTAATAACTAAGGAGTGAGAGTTAGTGCCAGATATGGTACAGGGATGGACAAAGGGGTTAAGACGTGCAATTTTTATATTGATTTGTGTAAAAGTAAATTGCAAGTTAGCAAAATAGCTTAGTGGGTAGGTAATTGTGCTTGTCACAAAAGCTTGATGAATTGGATTTGAGCCTTAGAAGCCGTATTTTAAAAGTAAATTATCTTTTTATGCTTTAATTTGCTAAATCATATGCCTGGCATAGAAATAATTAAGAGACAAAGGTGTTTATTATAGTTTTTAATTGGCTCCTTTTTCTATTTTCCTAGTGGCTTAAGAATTTCTTCTGTGCATGATAACAGCTTCGGGGAAAATAAAAAGGAGCTGTAAACAATTAAAGAGTGACTCACGTGTTTACCTTGTCCTTTATTCCAGTGCACAAAGCGAGAGGTTATATCTCATCCGAGGTGGGCCCAAGTATAGAGTTTGTTTTCAAGGCAGGTGTCACTGTAGAAGTAGAATTTAGTCAGTAAATGGGGCCACTTCTACTCATCCAACGGCAAACAGTAATCACACGAGTGAAGTTTCAGAATGTGTGCCTGCACACATAGCTACTTCAGAAAAAGATAAACTTCTCAAGAACACAAATACAACTTCGAAGACAATACATTGAGCAGAACAAAAGGTCAACCCCCCAAACTATGCATACATACATATATATGCATATATATGAGAGAGAAATGATTAACAAAAGAATTAATAAAATTAATTAAAGTCAATCAATTCTAGGCTGATTTTAAAGGGAACATACCCTTTTGATTTCTCCTCAAATAGTCATGTCCAGTAGAAGCCAAGTCCAGAAACTGCTCTGGAATATGTTCAAGGGAAAGAATGAGACAATGTATGTGAAAGCACTCTGGAAACTCCAGACTGGGCTTCACATGGGAAGAGCTGCAAGACTATTGTTACTGTCCCACCCAGCACAGAGGAGCAAAGGACATTGGCGACAAGCCACAGGTCATGGCAATGTTGAGTCAATATTTCAGTCTGATTTGCTTCCCTGTCACTCAAGCCTAAGTGAGTCACTGATTCGTGTATCGACCACCATAAGACAGCATGAAATTTCGCTATGAACAATAAATAATTAATTACCTACCAGAGAGTGCTTGAAGTGGAGATTCATTAGCTTCCCAAGGAAATTTGGCAGAGTATCGCAGAAAGAAATCAAGATCATGATATGATTTCTTTATGTACATGGCTGGAAACTGTGTGACTCGGAAAGTCTGTTCTAATTTCTGGTTTCCCTTACTACTTTTGGCTTTGTTCAGATTACTAAGCAATCTAGACCAATTGTACCACCCTGAATCCCTCAGTCCTTTTTACCCAAAAGTAATCAAATATGACATTTCTTCCTCAGAAGGCCAGGGAATGAAATATCCTACAGAAACTGTGGGATAAAGCCGGAGGCACATGTAATAAAACCCAAGGCAAAACCTCCACAATGAGACTTGGAAAATCAGCCCAGAGGTTGAGGCTCATTCAGAGAGAAGGAGATACTGTTGCCAAAGGTGTTCCACCCTCCATTTAAAAGCCACGCCCATGAAATGGGAAGGGTAATTGAAGGCAAAGATAAATAAGAAAGACTGATCTACATTTACAAAAATGTCACAATGAAACTTAATGTATTGGATGCTAACTAAAAAAAATTTAAAGAAGAAATTTATGTGAAAAAATGCTCAAAAAGAGGAAAAGAGCATAGGCCTTGAAAGGGTTAGAATTATAAAAAATATGTGGTAAAATAAACCTATTACCTCACATATAATTATGCTTTTGTGAAATAATTTACAGAAATCATTTTAGATTTTGAAAATCTCACACAAAAGGTCATGTTATCTTCCTGTTTTTATTGATCAGAGAAAACTGTCATCCATCTTTCTTTGAACTCCTTTAGTAACAGGCAGCTCAGTACTCACAAGACAATATGTTTTCATTATGGTTTATTTTTTTTCTACATTTTGACAACTGATTAAAATTTAAGATACAACTAATTGGGACTATGTAGGCATGAAATGCCACAGGAATCTATCAAGATAACCTCAACCTTTATGATCCCAGTCAGAAAACTGGAGCTACAAGGGAAAAATACAATTTTCCTCAAATTTACATAGTTTGTTCAGACTATAATGTAAGTCTCTACCCAGGGCTCACTGCCTTGTCTATTTCCCATAAACAAAGAGGCAGGCCACCTTCAGGACTGACTGCCGACTAACCATGTTACCAAGGATCCAGCTTCTCTTTTCTTCAAAACATAATATTGGCTTTGTAATCTCTCAACAAGAAAAATACCAAAGGGTATACTGGGTCAGGGAAAGGCGGCCCATGGAAGGGAAAGAGTACTGCCCACTCTTTTTGGCTTAATCACAATGGTGACTAACAACCTCCTGGAAATAATGACACCTTATTGTTTGATTCCATCATAATATCACATGGAAACTACTTTACTTTTTAGATGGGTTGCTATTTCTTTATATTTTATTCATTTTTACATACCAAGCACAGTTTCCCCTCCCTCCTTTCCTCTCCCCTTCCTCCCCCAACCCACTCTCACCCACTCCTCAGAAAGGATAAGATGGGGAGTCAACAAAGCCTGGCCCATTCAGTAGAGGCAGGACGAAGCCCCTTCCTCCTGTATCAAGGCTGATCAAGGTATTCCACTTTAGGGAATGGGCTCCAAAAAGGCAGCTCATGCACCAGGGATAGAACTTGGCCCCGCTGCCGGGGGTACCATGAACAGACCAGGTTACACAGCTGTCGTCCATATGCAGAGGCCCTGGTTAAGTCCCATGTGGAATCTCCAGCTGTAGGTCTAGAGTCCTTGAGCTCCAGTTCAGATTAACTGTCTCTGTGGGATTCCCTGTCATGATCTTGACCCTCTCCATTTCATCATATAATCCCTCCTCCCTCTCTTCAACTGGACTCCCGTTGCTTGGTCTGGTGCTTACATATGGATCTCTACATCTGCTTCCATCAGTATCTGGATGAAGTTTCTATGATGGCAGGTAAGGTAGTCACCAATCTGATTACAAGGGAAGGCCAGTTTAGGCATCTTCTCCACTATTGCTAGGGGTCTTGCTTGTGGTTTCCTGGGAATTTTCCTAGCATCAGGTTTCTCTGCAGCCCCATAATGGCTCCCTCTATGAAGATATCTTTCCTTGAACTTCCACCCCATCCCTCCCCCAACTGGACCATCCTGTTCCCTCATGTTCTCATCCCTATTACCTCCCACTTACCACCTCTCACCCCCCCCCCCCCCCGTTTACTCAGGAGATCTCATCTATTTCCCCTTCCCAGGGTGATTCATATGTCCCTCTTAGGATCCTGCTTGTAACCTAGCTTCTCTGGAGCTGTGGATTGTGGTCTAGTTATCCTTTTTATCCTTTGTTTTATATCTAATATCCACTTATGAGTGAGTACATACTGTGTTTCTCTTTCTTGATCTAGGTTAGCTCACTCAGAATGATTTTTTTTTTCTTAGTTCCATCCATTTGCCTGAAAATTTCATGACGGCACTGTTTTTACAGCTGAGTAATACTGCATTTTGTGTATGTACCACACTTTCTTTATCCATTCTTCAGTTGAGGGCATCTAGGTTGTTCTTAGGGATACATATAGAATAACTGTAAATCTTTCAAAATGGATAATCGGTCACTAAAATCTCAGCTGGTAATTGTTTTACACACTAGAAATTCTGATAGGCTTTGTCACAAAAGAGAAAACCACCAAACCAGAATGAAGAAGGCCAATCATTTGCAAGAAAGCATGTCTAGAGAAACACTGAAAAATATATAGTTAATGCTAATCTAAGACAGACTACAGCCATCCTAACATCTCTCATACGTCTCTAATAATAATGGTCCATCTCATATATAAACTGATGATAAAAACTGACCAGTACTCTTCCCATTAAGCACCTTAGGGGAGAATATATGGGTGGAGCCAATCCTCTAAAGGAAACAGAGAAAAAATAGCTGCTGCTTCAAAAGCTTCATCTCTCAATAATGACGTGTGCCTTACTCCCGTCATAAGGCATTCAAGCGGAACAGATCAAGAAGACATCTAACGAAAGGAAGGCTATGTGGCCTGTCTTAGGTTTCTATGCCCCTGGTTCCTCTTCCTGAAAAATTTCAAAGACAATGTAGCTGACACAAGGCAGTTGAATAGCTATTTTCCTCTCTTCCTCTCTAGTGCCAGAATTAATCTATCTAGCCAACATCTTATATGCAAGCAGCTGTAAAAAAGAAGAAGAAAAACAGGTGAATTAGAAGAAAACTGGCTGGCAGTTATGGCTCAGACACAAAGACCAGATGATCCCCAGCAAGTCTCAGTTCTTTCTAAGCATATTATAGTGAAGAAAAGATGCAATGAAAGAACTGAAAGGAATAATTTGTCACATTCTTCCATTATGTTTCTCTTGCAGTTCTTGACATCTCTCTTAAGGTGCTGCCCCTCCATTTTGTATAATTCAAAACCGCAGACAAATATTTTAATTAATACTATCACACGAGAAATGAAAGAAACCCAGCTGATTTCCCAGGGGATAGAAGATGGAGGGAAATTTGGTCTTTGGTCTTCAGAGCTCCTACCTTTCAGAAGAGAAAAAAAAAGGGTGTGGTAAGTAGCCCCAGAAAGCACCACTTGAACAACTGAATACACAACAGAGGCATAAGAAAATGTGGCTGAAACCAGAGGGAAAAACTTTCAGCTGTCAAGGATTTCCCCACAGCCAGATAATGGCTTCTTTTAGAGAACAGCGAAGACTTTTCCTCTGGAAGTGCTGTCAGAGATGAGATGGCTGTTTAAAGGTGAAGTCAAATGTTAGAAAAGAAACATATGACTCACAAAAGCCTACTATTCTTCAAGCATTGGGATAGATCCTTTAGAAGATTATCATTTTTAATCCTTCCAACCAGTGGGACCTATTTCTCATTTTTCAGGAAAACAGAAACACAGGGAAGTTTGGATTTTCTCACTGGGTTTCCTCATGATTCTATCGTGGATGGAAGAAACATCTCTTTACTGCATGAAACCAGTTAATACTGACGCATCATGGAAATATTGAATATACAATGAACACATTTAGGATTCCAAACAACAGGTTCTAAATTGTACTCTCTAGAAAGGTAGGAGGAAAATGTGTACTGGTTCAAAGTGTAAGTTAACCCCAAAAGATAAACTCCATCCTTCCCTTTTCAAATCTCATGTAATTCATGATTTCAAATCTCTGAAGGGATTTCCAAGTTTGTGTTACTTGATACATACATTGCCTTCCTTCTGTTCACTCAGCCACCACCTCAGTTTCCGTTTGTTCACTTTTCTGTGTGCTCTTTTTCGTGCCCAGCTGATTCACATTTACCTAACTATTCTTCCTAAAGTGCACATCTGATCTTTCTTCAGTTCAGAAACTCACGGTGGCGGTACCATGCTCTGCCAAATAAACAGAAACTCAGGTATCCAAAGTCTCGGGTAGTTTCCCACCAATCTGACTGGTACTCTCTCCCAATTGTACTAAAGCATCCAACTTGACTATTGTTCCTTTCACATGTTCTGAGTTCTTTGCCATCAAGCAGTTGTTCATGTTTTCTCTGCTTCAAATGCCTCCTCTCCTTTTTCCACCTGTTGAAACCTTATCTGTGGTACATACTCTACCTTCAATAATAAGGGTTAACATTTATTGAGTGCTTATTTTGAACCATGCTAAGCATGTACAAGCATTTTACATGGATTAAATCAGTTCATCACAATAACTCAATGATGTTGGTGCTGTTAATTCAACCTTTACCTGGAGCAAAATGAATCTCAGGATCCTTGTATGCCTTTCGATCAAAGGCACACAGTTGCTATTTGGTGAAATGAGATTTGAATACAAATAGTTTTATTCTCTAGCATCCAAAGGTGTTAAGACTGAAAATCAATCAGCTGGGCCTAATGAACACATACCTGTGCTTATAGCATTTAGGAGTTGGCAGCAGGAGGATCAGGAACTAAAGAGCCACCTTGCTACATAGAGTTTCATTTAGTCCAGCCTTATCTACCTGGGACACTATCCGGTCCTAAAGATACCCAGAACAAGTCCCAAAACACTAAAAAAAAGAAGAAGAAGTTAGAGAGAGAGAGAGAGAGAGAGAGAGAGAGAGAGAGAGAGAGAGAGAGAGAGAGAGAGAGAGAGAGAGAACAGCTTTTCTGCTTTTCTCTGGCTTTAGTTGATGTGGTCCTTACTTGACTACTTGAGAGAATTTTCACTGAACTTTTAAAATTCGCCTTGTACAGTATTATTTGTGTTCCTCCACTCAGGATGAGTCTGTTAAGTCCTAAGGGATGCAGCCTCTCTATCGTAGACAGCTTAGTGCTTCAAACTTGGTGATAGAGGGATATTATTCACTATGCATTTTATGTTTATTAAATGTGAAGGGGACAGGAGAGGTACCTAAATAGTTCCGCAATTTACTACCTCCCATTGCCCTACATGATATTGGCCATTGCCGCCAAAACCTGTCAAAATGAGATCCTCCAGCCTGTTTTCCCAGCCTAGTCTCTGGCAGGTCTCTTCTCCCTGCACCCCGCCAGTTCTTGCAGCTGTCTGGGTCTTGGCCAGTGTTTGGGGTGAGGCCGGATCAAAATATCACTGTCCTGGGCTCGGCTTCCAGCAGCAAGTGATCAAATGAAACTCAGTCACTGGTGACAAGGCTGGATTGAAAGCCCCCACACACATTGCCAAATTGCTCTTTACACAGGCCCGGACTTGCCCAAGCACCACGTGGGTGGGCTAAGTAGTTCAGCTTTCTGCAGGATGCTCTGAATATCCAATCCATTCCCTCCTCCTCTCTCTTCCTCATCTCTGGATCCCAGATGCACAAGGTTGTTGGACAAGTCTGGGCATATTCCCAGCGGCCATCTGGCTTCAGTTCGAACCTGCACAGGCAGGAACTGACTAGTCAAGGCTGTAGGAATAACAGTCTAAGTTTCTGACATCTCAGAGAGTGCTGTCGGGGCTCAAACGATGAAATGACTGATTAGAGAATACTTTTCCCCGAGTCAGGCTGACTTTGTAGCACCCTTACAGGGACATCTGATATGGTCCTCTATTTCCGTCCCTAGTTAGCTACCAAATGAAAGAGTGTTTCCACACTTAACCTGTAAAGATCAAAGGATGGATCATACATAGAGACTCCCTGAGCAAACACATTAGAGTACAGAACAGACACCCTGCCCAATAGCCTCCCCTCAGCCACCAACCTGCATACCGCTCTCACAATAGGCGAAATCCGTTGCAACCAGTGTTCTGCTGGATTCATTTCACTTTCACGTGTGGCAACAACAGATCAAATCCATCCTCTCTTTCATATTATGCCTATACCCCCTCCTCTCCTCTGTGAGGCCTGCGGGACAACTATTGGACTATTTGATGTGTCTGGGAGTGGTTATGCAAATAAACCCCGCCCCTGAAAGGCCGCTGCGAGTCTGGCTGGTAAACAATGGCCAAGCCACAAGTATGGCAAGAGTTTTTAAAGCTCCAGGAACTGAAGCTGGGGCATGAGGGGGGAAGGGCCTAGAGTTGGATCTAACTGAATCTGTGGGCAGGAAGGGAGGAGGCAGCTAAATGCAGCTCAGTTTTTCAAAGTTCTGTGCATGGCTTAGCAGGCTTGGAGTTCCAGAGAAAACCAAATGTTGGGACAGTTAGGATTCTCAGACACAAGGAAAAGGCACTTCCCAGCTCTGGCTTTGCAGTTTTATATTAGTACTCCAAAAGATTAAGATTTTTACCAGGAAACCTGAAGCTGGTGAAAGACCACAAAAAAGAAGAAGGAGAAGGAGAAGGAGGAGGAGGAGGAGGAGGAGGAGGAGGAGGAGGAGGAGGAGGAGGAGGAGGAGGAGGAGGAGGAGACCACAAAAAAGAAGAAGGAGAAGGAGAAGGAGGAGGAGGAGGAGGAGGAGGAGGAGGAGGAGGAGGAGGAGGAGGAGGAGGAGGAGGAGGAGGAGGAGGAGGAGGAGGAGGAGGAGGAGGAGGAGGAGGAGGAGGAGGAGGAGGAGAGGAGAAGAAGAAGAAGAAGAAGAAGAAGAAGAAGAAGAAGAAGAAGAAGAAGAAGAAGAAGAAGAAGAAGAAGAAGAAGAAGAAGAAGAAGAAGAAGAACTGGATACTAACATGTCACTCTGATTTTAAGACATCCTGTTACTTCTGATGGGTCTCTGGGTCTCACTACACATACATATACGGTACACACACATGTACACACACACACACTCATATCATATACATAGTATCTCTCAGGATTTCGCCTATTGTGAGAGCGGTATGCAGGTTGGGGGCTGAGGGGCGGCTATTGGGCAGGGTGTCTGTTCTGTACTCTAATGTGTTTGCTCAGGGAGTCTCTATGCATGATCCATCCATTGATACGGTAGAGCCATAAACAGGAATTCATAATCAAGTATCAGAAGCTGAAAATCATTTGGAGGAAATAATCAGAATTGGATTAGAATAATGACTAGAACATAGTTGCATACAAGTGTATACTGGACATAAAAAATAAATACATACACTTTTGGGGCAATCTGACATCATCTCTGAAATTAAAGTGAATATTATTACCCTACATAGCTAATTTTGTCTCTAATAAAGAGGAGGGACCAATAGAGGAATAATCTGCCTTTTCTTCCAAAAAGGGCGACATTTTCTAAAAGAGGGGCCCTCTGATTTTCTCCATCTTCTTCAAATGATAGTGCCTGAACTAGTTGAGTTTTGAAACCTTATTTTAATAAAAGGAATGTTGATCTTGGCATTAGTACCCTTGCCCAAGCCAACTTCATCTGTAAAATCATATTATCTTTCTCAGTCTTGCTTTTGGCATTTAAAACTTGAACAGATTCTTGTTCTTGAAGGCCTTGAAATTCTACGATGAGTCTTCCCACATGCTTGTGTGCACATGCAGTTACATATGCTTTCTGACAACACATAGATTCTGCCTTAGAAGCACTGCAATGAGGCCGAGACTGGTTTTCTATCGACATTCCCATTTGATGCAGTTGCTTCTGAGTTATAGACAATACATTAAATAGCAAAGGTCTAGACAGTGGACAGAAGCAACATTAACAACTCATGTTTGCATTAGCCAGCACTCCATAACAATAACAATTAGTTTTTGAAGAAAACAAGCTTGTTTGGGCTCATAGTTTTGGAGATTTAAGCCCATGGTTGGCTGTCCTTGTTATTTTTTGCTCTGTGACAACCTAGCTTATCCAAGTGGCACAAAACTGTTTACATGATGGCCAAAATTCACAAGAGAGACTTATCAAATAATCTGGGTCTCACTTTCTTCTTCAAAGACATACCCCTATTTACCAAAATATCTCCCACTAGCCCTCACTTCTTAAAAGCTTTAGCATTTTCTACAAGTACAATGGGACATTGTCCAAGCCATAGACAAATAGATACTTGCTAGACATTTCAGATGGAAACTACAGCAATCTGTAATCTTGTAAATTGTGTTGTTTTGCCCTTAACAATTACATTTTGCAGTCAAAGTGAATCCTAGTACTTCATGATCATGTCTGAAAGGCACTTGAAAGAAAAGTTGCGGCAAAACTTCAGAGTGCACAAGTTATTCTTGTATTACTTGGAAAATGTCTCTAAGCAACTCTGCCTCTGTCTGTAACTTAGCCAATAATAGAATAATTTGTTGATCTTCATTGAGAAATCGGTAGGGATTCTTTCACACATTATAATTGATTAGATTAATAATACTATGGGACCTATATTTAACCTATGGGACCAAAAATAATGGAATAATCCCTGTGTCTACTTTTGTAAATGTCACATATAATTCACTAACACTTTCTGCCTCTAAAATACGTTCTAAATTCCACAATTTAGCATTTTCACTTCAACTGCTATGGTAGCCAGCCATGTTTTCTCCTTGTTTTTGTAATTCCCTCACCCGAGTCAATTATCAGCTTAGTAACCATAGTAACCCTTTAAAATATTAATAAATCTAAATATTTTTAAGCCATGCTATAGATTGTCTTGTTAATAGTAAAAACCAAATGTATTAATTATGATTTTCGATAGCTTATAAAATATTCTACTCCATCTGACTGCCACCAACCTGTCTTATGTATTTGATCTCATCTCCTGCGAATCTCCTTCCTTACTATGGTCAACCATTTCAATGTCTTTGGCTTACTTCTCCTAAAATCTGACATGTTAAAGACTGGTATTTGGACTTGTGCTTTTACAGCTTAGAAATTTCTCCCACCAGCCATCACCATGGTTCTATTCCCAGCCATTATTATGACTTCATCCATCACTTCCTCTAGCTCTCCATTCAAATGTTTTCAGAAGGAATTTTCAAGAATACCCTAATATAAAGAATTGCCCCTGCATTTTAGATTCCAACAGATAAATGAGCTTTTCCCCAGCACTAGCTCCAAGTATGTGAGATACAGTGTGGCACTAGGCTAGAGTAAGGCTCTCAACTCTTTCCTCTATATAGCATCTATTCCGTTCTAATGGCAGTGAAAACTGAGTTGGGTCACTTTACTTCTTGGGGCTCCCCCAAATCCTCCTTTTATCTTGGGCAGAAGTTACTTCATGATACCAAAGAGTATAATCCTGGTTGAAATGTTGCTAGAGCATGCATGACGTACCTAACTGGAGGACAGACAAACCTAGCCTCCTTTAAGCAGATCTTTGGCTGCAGAAGGGTTCCTTTTGGATCACAGAGAGAGATATGGGGCTCTCTACTGCCAGGCTTCAGATATTTTACAGAGCACTTAGGAATACTGGCCTTAGTGAGTTCTCAAAGAAGCCAGGATAGCATAGAATTCAAGGATAAGTGATTTATTATAATAGAAAATGCTGTCTACTCAGTTAGACTAAGGCTTTTCCAATCTGTAGAAACTGATAAGTGAAAATGAAAGCAAAAGTTCATGAATCAGAGTATGATGAGAGCTATAGAGCTAACTCTTTGGATTCTAGTATGACTAGCATCACCCTTAATTGCACAATCAGTTTCTTAGGTCTGTTAATCACCATGTGCAATATTCAGAAATAACTTAGGCCATAGCTGTCTCATGTAATGACGAGGGTCTTCTGGGTGATTTTTCAAACTTCAACTGAGTCTGAGGTTTGTTAATTAGTGTTCTTTCTCATCCTGAATCATGTTTCTTTTCATTTGCCAAAATGACTATTTCAAGTTCATTCATATTAGTCAAGACTCTAAAATGCCTAACTAACTACTTCATTTTTTATAAAGAATATAAAAAACAGTGACCTCTACTTCCTTAGTTTATCCTTCTATCTTATTTAAGAACTAGCTTCTTTCTGTCTCAGAAGAATCTATCAGCATTCATTCCTATTGTCTGATGCTTATTACTTTTCATGGGTCTTTGTAGCCATTTCCCTTCAGACACTTCTGCTGCTTTTCTTCTTTCTAGTTGAAGCCAATTAGGCAAAGGATTTACCATGCTAATTGGTTTTATATGATCATTTTTTGTTTCTTTATTTCTTTTTGTTTGTAGTTTTGTTTTTTTAAAAGTAGTCTCTGCTTATATAGCCTGAGCAGAACAGGATTATATGATCCTCTCACCATAGCATCTCTAAAGCAAGCTTTAAAGAAAAAAGCCACTATATCTGTCTCTACCTCTTCATTTCTGAACTCACTATATTCTTCTTTCCTTAAGGCCACTCATGGATTACTTGCTGTCAAACACAGAGACTCTTTCTTTCTACTTACTTGAGTTCCTTAGAACACCCAGAATTAATGAGTCCTTTTTTCATTTCTTCTACCTTGATTGTGGAAATTATGGCTCTTGCTTTCATTCCTTCCTCTATACTTTTCCCTGGATTCTTCTTCTCTACTTACAACTCACATGTTGGAATATCTGAGAGTTTCTCCCATTGATCCTCATAACTGACTCTAACTTGTTTAAGTGGAGTGTGAACCTGTGTGTCAAGGACCTACGATGTCATTTCACTAATGTCCAGTTGCAAATTAGTACCAAGAGCATAGTTTTGGCCAATTTTATTATATCTATTAGTATGTCATTAATAAACTAATTCTCACATGACTGCGTGGGAAGGACAAAGGATAAAAACTTTAAATCATGTTTTCCAGGCCACACAAGGACCACTACACAAGATTTTCAATACCTCCTCAACTAAACAAAAGCAAACATTGGAAATACATAATAAATAGTACTGATAGCTAAAAATTTATTATCACTTCAACAACTCTGCACATTAGGTCCTATGTTCAATGTTCTATACACAAGATTTCATTTTATAATTGAGAAAATTGAGTGACAGAATTGATAGGTAATATTTCATAATGCCAC